CCCCCGGACGAAATTGGGTGTCTACAGCTGCCCCTCTTTACTTGTCCTTTGGAATAGTAATGTGTTGCTTTTCCAAAGGCAAGGAAAGACGTAGACATTTCGTCCGGGTCTTCTCTTCGTCTCTTTGGTGCTTCTGCATTGTTTCCCTTATGATAATGTGTTCCTTTATTTGTTGCTTTTTGAAGAGGGAGTATATTATGAGCTCAGCCTCTCCAGGCTGGACTGATATTTAAGGCTTCAGCCGGCCCACAGGTGAGAGCTCGACAGCAATCCCGGTTTTGACTTTGAAGAACTCGGCGGTACCCTCATTGTCATTCACTGATTTAAGAGGCTCTACGGCGGCTCTCGATCAAACTGTGTTGATTTTTAAGGCTTCAATGGACCTATGGTGGGAGCTCGATGGTGGTCCCGATTTTGACTTCGAGGAACTCGGCGGTACCCTCTACAGGGGAAAGGATTTGCTAGATTAATTTAAAACTACAAAGTACAAAGATGGAAGCAAAATTTCACTGCCAAAAAACCTCACATTTAAACCCGTTGATTTACGGGGAACTCTTGAGAAAATTTCTTCTGCAAATGAAGGGGTGTCTGTTGACAAGATCCCAAACTCCACTAGTTTGCTCGCCAAATCAGCTGGTGAAGTAGCTTGCTGGGCTGCAACACCAAAAAAGAGATTAACAAAATATGGCTCATGAAACCCAACATTGGAATGAATATATTAAACCCTAAACCCTAAACATTGGAATGAATGATTTCCATATTGACTATTGAAGAAATTTCAAGGTGAGAACAATGATATTAGACGACTTACATAGTCCAATCATGCACTGCACCACCGTGGGCTGAGAATAGCCCAGTAGTGACATCAACTTATCCGATACCCATGTCTTTAGGTCTTCATCACTCCCCATTCTCACTGTATTAATCAATCAGCCAGGGACAACGAGAGGGAGGGTTCCAAATCAGCCTAGACGAATGGCGTTGCAGAGGTTGGACCCGAGGGATTATATATATTATCATGATATATCCATTTTAATATGATTATTAGTAATTATAAATACCTATAAATCTATAAATAAATAATATAAAGGGAACTTCTCAAGTATATTTTTTTTCTATAACTTTTCTATATATAAGTTATTATAAAATACGCTGATATCACCAAAAATAATATAAGTTGATACTGAATAATTATTAAAATTACACAAATATCTTAAAATATAAAATATATTAACAAATGAACCAAATAAATTAATAAAATATATTAATTAATAGTTACTAAATTTAAAATTTAAATAAAATAATAATAATAATTACTAATAATTATTATGTTTCATTAATTAATAATTATTGATACTGATAATATTAATATATTCCATAATTTCAATTTCATTAGTGTCATGCCTTATTTGAAGGAGAAGAAAAAGAAGAGAATGAGTAAGAATTGTTTTGATATTAAATAAATAAGAATAGAGTAAAAAAGAGTGAAATTTGTAATTATTTAGTAAAAAATAATTAAGTAAGAAATAAAGTGAAATTAGTATTTATAATTACTATTTTACCTTTATTTTATAATATAGATTGAATTAATATTTTTTATATTATATAATTTTATATATTGTCCAAGTTTAAAAGAATATCCTCAATAGAAAATATAAAAAATGATGTGGAATTTGCTTTTAATTTCTCATAATTCTTCTTAAATATTATCTACCAAACACAAATGCTTTTTTTATATAAAAAAAAAAATTCCACTCTACTTCACCCTCCTCGTGTTAAATTACCTCAATTAAACATAGGCTTAATAAATGACACCTATCACATTTCATGATTAAAAATTTGTGATTTTCTTTCTATATTTTACATTGAATACTTCATATATGTTATAATACTTATTTATTTTATTTAATAGAAATAATATAAAACAAACAATTTCTGTAATATATTCTTTATTCTATAAAAAAAAAAAACTTTTATATTTAAAATTTATTATAAAATAATCTAATACTAAAAATTATAAAAATAATAGTACCAATTATTACGTTTACGTTTCATTAATTAATGATCACTGCTATTAATAATATTACTAATTATCAATACTACTATATTTAGAATTCAAATAAAATATAAATTATAAAAATTATTACTATAACTATATTAAGAATTAATTTATTATAATTTGAATAGATTGATATATTAAGAACAATTTGCCCCGCCAAATCAGCTGGTGAAGTAGCTTGCTTGGCTGCAACACCAAAAAAGAGATTAACAAAATATGGCTCATGAAACCCAACATTGGAATGAATGATTTCCATATTGACTATTGACCCTCTTCATGCTTACAGACTTGCGTGTTTGATCGATTCTATTCTATTCCACTGTTGATATGTCTTTGCTTAGTGGGCACATAGAATCACTTGGGGTTGCTGTTTGCCACTGCTTCGGCCCATGCTTGGCTATTGAGCTTTTACGAGTGCTTTGTCCTGATGATTCCTTCTGACCCATAGCAAGTACAATGCATGGATGCATGGATGCAATGAAAATGCAAGACAGGAATGATTTTATTATTATTATTATTATTTGTGTAACGCCCTTCCATATGCCCCTACCTCATATGCATGCGATGCAATTTATGCTCATGTGTTTGTTCCTACATATGCAATTCAATTTTTGTCGGGAAATTAACATGTACGCGTTAAGGTTAATGTTGACGATTTCTTTCTATCCATGCCAATCTTGATTACTGTCGGGATATGTTCTTTTGAGCCCAAACTTCAGTAGCTCCTTGACTATCCAGTCGATGTGTGGTCAAGCGTCTCTAACCTCTGTTTGAGGACATCTCGACCTTCCCTCTGTGAGTATTCACTGTGCATTTTTCGGGTATCTTTCAAATTTATCTTATTGCCATATAGGTTAAGAGGAAAGAGAGGAAGAGGTTATATATATATATTTTTTGCAGAGGTTTTGTTAGAAAGGATTTTTTTTCAAAAATGATTTTAGAAGAATGGCTGGTCGAGGTAGGCTAATGGTTTAGGCTGATGATCAAGCAAATTCAAAGTGAGGAAATCATTTTCCACGTTGGATTATTATTTCCTTCAAAGTTAAGCGATGACTTGGGATTGCATATTGATTAAATGATCTTCCCGAGCTGCCTTTCGGTTTTCAGCTCGTGTTGCTGCTTTGTCCTAACTTTTGCCTAGGTTACTTTGAGATGTGTTCCCTAGTGGACATTTTCTTTTGATCCTCCCTTTTGCCTAGGCTACTCCTTTTGTTTTTGAGTCTCCTAGCAAACCTTGCCCTTATTTTTTCGCAGCCCCCTTAGTGGGTTTCCTGCCAGGCTTTTGTCTTTGCAGCATTTGTGATCATCTTTCATTCCTTCATTAAAGGGGGATGCCCCTTGCACTGATTTCATTTGGACTTTTATCCACAAGTCATGCCCAATTTGATTGATCTTTATGTGTTTTTTTATTGCGTATTAAGCCATTATTTCTGATGACGTCCTTATTTCAAATGTACTTGTTCATTTAAGGTTTGTTGACGAGGCTTAGAGTAGATAAAAGGGAGAAGAGAAATGAAGTAGAAAAGTGTATGGCATTAAAATAGAATTTTCAATTTACACGTGCCCATTTAATGTAGCTTGAGGGCCCGGGCATGCCCCAAGTTCGTGATTCGTACACAAAGAAAAAGAAGGAGGTTGCCCCTTAGAGAGGCTTAGGTCATCTAACTGTAGAGCTAGTCCTCCACTTGCTTGGATGTGGCGCTTCAGAAGATTTCGTGTAGAGGGAGGGCCTTTGGCTTCTTCTCTCATGAAGGTTTTCTCAACCCGTATCTTTCCTGAGATGTAGGAAGGGGTAGAAGCGATGATAGAGCTTTCTATGAAATCTGAAGAGGAACATTCAAGCTGTCTCTCGATTTTCAGCTCGAACAAACATTGCTTTTTTTTTTTTCCTAGAACGTCCTTTGCGGGTTTTCAATCTAGCAGCTTCTTAACAAGCAATGCTTCTCTCTTGTTGAAATCACCTTTTGAGAAATCTTTAATCGTTTTGCCTTAGTGTTTGAGAGATTCGTCATCCTCAGGTTCTCTTTACTAGCTTGCAACTCGTTAAGAGTGTGGATCCATCCATTCCCTTTGGATTTCACGGTTGCACGACATGACTTTATCCTCTTAGGGTAAGCGTTGGCGTCTTAATGATTGTGGAGTTCTTTAGTATTTTTTTTGTCTCATAATAAGTATCGTTTTAGATTGTTTTATAAAAGTTAGAAATAAGAAATCTTATGATTAATCTTCTTTACTATAAACAATGCAATACAATATTCACTTTCTAAAAAATATTATGAAGAGTATAAATGAAAAACAAAGATAATTAATATTATATTGAAAAGCTAACATGACACTTATTTGAAGATTTTTTTTTCAAACATGACTCTCAATACGAGGCAAAATATATTATGTATACTATGAAGAAATACTTCAAAAACTTAATATATTAACTTTGACTTTTTTAATAAAATAAAAATACAGAAAAGAGTGGGAACACTTAGTTTTTAACATGGCAAGTGCGATTACATTATTATAAATTTATAATAGGTTTAAATATATTTTTAATATCTCAAATTTAAAGTAAATTTATTTTTAGTCCCTCAAATTGAAAATTGATATTTTTAATTCTTGTAATTTCAAAAAAAATTGTTTTAATTTTTATACTCAAATTTTGTTAGAAAATCCATAAAATATTGCTACCTAAAATCTAACTACCGAAATCTTTATCAAGTAAAAATATCACATCAAATCCAATTGATATTATATTACTATCCCAATTTATTATATATATATATATATATATTATTGATTATTGATAACATGAAAGACTAAAATAATATTTTTAAAAGTTATAGAAACTAAAAACAACAATTTTAAAATTAAGAAAATAAAAACATATCTAAACCTTAATAATATATATAATTTCTAACATATTTAATTGAAAATGATTGAGAAAAAAAATACTTCTTAATGATGTAGTTATCACAATCAAAGTATTATTTTTTCTTCACCATGTTTTAATATATTCTAAAATTTCAATAAAAAAGAAACAAAGAAATTCATTAAAAAAATATTGGAACATTAAAGAAGATGAGTTAAAATATATTACAACTTGCTTCAAAATATGAATCATACCAAGATATAGTGTGATTGAGTTTGAAATATAGGAAAAATTGAGAATCGATTGGGATGAAAAAATCGTAGAGGGTGATAATGTAAAAAAATGTACGAAACAGGGAGAAATAATTTTTAAGAATGAAAAGATAAAAATAGATAAAAGCATATATATGTTCAACGGTTATTGTTTTAAAAGAAAATAGTTCTTGTTTCAAAAGAAAATAGTTATCATTTTAAATTAAAAGAGAGTTACGACCAATAAGGATTAAAATAGGATAAAGTAAAATGGAGACCAATACCTTTTTATTTTCTTTTGTCTTAATTTTAAGTTATATATAAATTATAGAAGTTATAGATTATGTAGAATAATCACATGTTTTAAGGGTAAAATAGCAAATTAAATGTGGAGATCAAAAGGATTAATATATGTATTGTTATATATTATAAATTATAGATTATAAATTATAGATTGTAAATTAAAGATGATAAATTATAGATTATAGATGTTATAGATAGATGCATGTTATATATACTAAAATACAATATAAATTTCAAAACATTGGTAAACAAATCATGTATGTCTACCACCATATAGAATATTGAAAATTATAAAAAGAGTTAAACATGCACTTAATTTAGTCCAATAGAAAGAATATAAATAAAGAAAAAAAAATATGGTAGAATACATACCCAAAGCCATCAAAGAAGCAACATTGAACAAAATGACTATATTTCTTCTCTAAACTTCCAATAAAATCCTATTTCCAAGAATTAATATCATCGTTTGGACGAAATTTTGGAGTCCGGAGAAATGAGCCCCAAACTGTCTATTT